GGCGAAAAAGCGGTTTTTTGAAGAAATCCCAATGGGGATGTCATTAATAAATATTAAAAAGAGTAAGGGCCCAAGTACGAACCCCAGGGGAACACCAGGAGATACATTTATTAAGGAAGATTCATGATCATCATGGACGTGACCCGTACACGGGAAAAAAGAAAGTCACGAATCTATGTAAACGGTTATTTGGTCGAGGCAAAAATATGATAGCTTAGAAAGAAGGCGTTGATAAAAAACACGGCCGAACGCTTTGGAAAAAAAAACAAAAAACTGCGTCAGTTTTTTCATTTCAAGGTTCAAGGTTCAAGGTTAGTGTGCAAGTCATGGATAAAGTCGCAGAGTTGTGTTTCGCAGGAAAGTACAGTCTCCGGCGATATGAAAGGCCCACTGGGAGCGCGTGGCCGAGGCGGTGGCTGGTGGGGGCGCTGCGAGCGCTCCGGGCAGTTCCATTCTGCTTCGAGGGGAGGACGCTCATTCGGCACTCGGCACAAACTGATAAGCGCGTTTCGCTTTATCTGAGCCCGAGTGAGCGTCCTCCCCTCGAAGCAGAATGGAATTGCCCGGAGGGCTCGCAGCGCCCCCGCCAGCCACCGCCTCGGCCACGCGCTCCCAGTGGGTCTTTCATATTGCCGGAGAGTGTACCTTTTTGAAAACCGTGCTGCTGTTTAAAGAAAAGAAACGGGATGATAGGTGCCTCATGATATTGGAGTAGAGGATATGCTCAAGTAGTTTGCAAGAAATTGAAGTCAATGAATTAGGGCGATAATTAGATGCGGAAGAGCGGCTGCCCTGTTTAAAGACTGCGAATTACCCTTCCCACCTTTTGGTCAGATGGAAGGCACCTTTGAGATAAGGACTGAATAAAGATAAGTTTTAAATACTCACTCGAAATAAGACTGGTGTTTCTTTTAAATTTTAGAGTTGATGTTATCGGTTCCAGCGTACGAAGTAAGTTTTAGTTTATCAGTCAATGTTATAATACCGGCGGAGTTAACGTTAATAGGATGCATGCGCTCGTAAAGCTCTTCAGGGAGAGTGGGGACGGAGTCCAAGCACTCGTTAGTAAACACTGATGAAAAATATTCGTTAAACACAGAACTATCATGGTCGACGTTGCACATCCGACCATTCCTAACTCTCCCCATCTTCCTAAACGTCCGTGTGTGTCCGAACACCAGAAACCGGAATTTTAAAGGTTAAAAACGGCACGTTACGAATATGGAACGCGCACTTTCATGCAAAGCTGACGTCAAGTGACTCAAATCGAAAAACATGCATATTTACAATATTGTTATCTCTTCTGGTGAAGGCTCAGCAACCGTTGCATCCGTTTTCGCGCACGAAACGGCGACTACCAGAGAAAGTAAGAACGCAGTGATTGCCTTTATTTTAACAATGTAAACACACTTGCAGGCGTGCGCTGATGAAGCCTCAAAATCAAAGCTCTCGTAGTGTGATTCGTGACTGTGCCGGCTACTACCCAACCTCGTTGTCACGCCACTTTCTGGAAGCATACACCAAAATTACAAGTAAACACACAAAAGCGACATCGATACAATTATCTTCTAGAATATCACCTTATTTAGTCATAACTCTTTCAATAGGCACTACAAGTTGTATTTATTTTAAGAAGAAGAAGCAAAATTTTTTTCGTGAGAAAAAACAAAATATCAATGTTAAGTCTGGTAACGTTGTAATTTTGCCGAATCATTGCCAAATCTTTAGAAAAGTTGGACAAAAGTTGCGCCGAATTTTCGATTTGGGGGGGGGGGGGGGAGAGGGTCTGGTTTGCCCCCCCACTCAAAAACAAGTTGGTACGCCACTGATAGCACGGTTTGTCAATTGCTTCGTTCGTGAAATAGGAGACGCTCACAATTCAAGCTCACGTTTGATTCCATTGCTCGCGGGATGAGATTTCTTTTAGAAAATCTACTTTTTTTTCTTTCGGTTCCGCAACACATCGCAGCAGACGAACCCTCGTCGTCTGCTCCCGCTCCTTGCCGGAGCGAGGCATGACGGGATTGTATTTTGGCGCACTCCCGATTTTCTCGGTGCAGCGAGTGCATGCACGCGTGGGGTGCCAGCGCTGAAACGAACTCGGAGAGTGCAACCACTCGTGGAGTGCCGGCTGAAACGAACCCGCTCCACGCTGCGAGTGGGCACGCGTGGGCACGAGTGCCGTGAACGTCGATTTCGTCACTATTCTTGCCCTGGACTAGCACCGTAATCACCAAGTCACTAAACGCTTGTACTTGATTGAGAGACACTGCATTCGGTGCAGAACGTAGTTTTCTTCCTGCTCTGGACAGTGACAATAAATTTTAGGGATGTATTTTCGCCCACAAAATTGTATTTCATTACAATTGTATTTGAAATACCCACGTTTTAGTATTTAAATACACACCTAAGATACTTTACCCCATTTGTAATTAAATACAAATGCAAAATACACAAAGTATTTGAAATACGTATTTCGAATACTTGTACTTGAAATACTGCCCATCCCTGCCTCAGTTGTAGAACCCCCCCTCACTCACTTGTCTGCCTCCCGTCGTTCGACGCGCCATCTAGGTTTTCGTTTACGAACTGTGCGTTCCATAGAGTACAAAAAAGCGCCATCCAGACGCTGCGCTTCGGAACATACGTATCCCATAGAATACACTGCAGTTACCAAAGCAGCCGTCCGGCACGTCAACGACAGGAGGCGAGTCGTGGTGAGTGAGGCGGGGTACTGCTCCTGCATGCAGCATCTATGAGCCGTAATTGAGCTAATCTAATAATGTTAGCATAATGCAACGTGGGGTGACGCCGATGCCGCTCAATTCACAAACGGGCGCCTAAGAGCTGCGTTCTAAAAGAACAATTAAAAAGTGTGTAGGGTTTATTCAAGCTGTAATAGCATTGAGATGACGGAAACGCAGTTTGTTACTAATGCAGTTTGTTACTAATCCAGTATGTGTTCTTCATTCCATAACTCCATGCTTCGTTCTCGTTTTGTTTTGATTGTTTGATTTGGCATATATTAGCATCCTTTTGGTGTCTTTTCAAGCTGATTCACTCTTGTGTGCTTCGTAGCATTGACTATATGCGTAAATATGTGCCCTATAATTGCAGTATGCAACCACCAACACGTAGTATACATGCATATTGGGCTATTTTAGCGCAGTGTTCAACGCCATTTATTCTAAAGAAAAACGCTCCGACACATATTTTTGTACATCTGATTGTAAAACGTTTTAAACTTCTTATTCTGTCACAACACTAAGCAAAATTTGCTCTTATAATCGAGTGCAAAGAAAGCACGCATTTGCGTTTTCCTATAGGCATGTATTACCGAAAGTCACGTTTAGACTGTTTGCTGTCTGCTTCAAAATGCAACAGCAAACTAGTGCCACCGGAGCCGTATATGTAGCGAGTTTGGCCATTCGTTGGGAAGTATAGGAGACAAATGAGGAGGCGCCATTGGCCGAAAGCGGGCTGGGCGTGTTCCAGGGCGTCTTCACAAATTCGAATGTGGCCAACCAGAAGCCTGAAAGAATACCCTGGCGGTGGTCGCGAGAAACAAACCTGATAAGTGCGTCGGAGTAACTCTCAGTGACTGAAAATATGGTGCACGTGATGTTTTGATCATGGTCATCCAAAATCATGGCGGAAGAGTGTGACTAGCGAAACGATCCACACAATTCATATGCCAAGCGCCGAAGGCCGGGAATCTGTTGTCCGAGCGGTCACGCACTATCCGAGCAAAACAGAGTTGAGCGGTGCGTTCGTTTCTTACATCTTTCTGCATGATCATGATGAAAACATCACGTGTATCCTATTTTCAACCATAAAGGGTTACTACACTTCACTCTTACGCGCTTATAAAGGGAGTTTTAGAATAATGTGCGCAATTTTAGCGGAAGCTGGCGCTAAATTTAGCGCTTGTATTAGCGCACGCGACGCAAGAGTTTTAGAATAGCGTTTCTTTGTCGCAACGCAAAAGCCCAAGCACCTCGCGCTTGCGACGCCACCGAGATACAGTAACAATTTTTATTTCACACAAGAAATGCTGTAACTTTAGAAAAAAGCAAGTTTTTTGGTCCAGAGTAGCATTTTAGATTTGTTTAGACATGAGAATGCGACGCCTGCGGTTGACCGGTCGCGTCCGCTTGCGTCGCCTCAGCAAGAGAGGTCTCGTGTACTGACCTTCGCACATCGTACCTTCGCCGCAAAATGTTCGCTCGTCGCAAGCATCATGTTGCTGGTGATCGTTGCCAAACCGAGTACAATGTCGTCCCGTATTGAAAATCGCAGTTGGGAGGATGCCGCCGACGTCGCACTCACGACGCCGCCAAAGCAGCCGCCAACATAATCCTGGAAGCCGCCATTTTTTTTTTCAACTCTGCTCGTCTTGGATTTAGCCAACTTGTCATCACAAATCCTCCTTGGAGAAGCGCAAAGACTCTTTGCGTACGCACGCTATTTCTGAAAAATAGCGCACGCTAAAATTGCGCACGCAAAGCGCAAAACCAGATTTGCGTTCGGAGCATGCGCAGTGGCGGCGACGCTATTCTTTGCGTACGCAAAGCTTTAGCGTGCGCTATTCTAAAACTCCCTATTAAAACAATGTACCAACATATGCATTGGACAAAAACAGTTTCTTGCCACCACCGCTAGGGGATTCTTTTAGGCTTCTGGTTGGCCAAGGGAGCATGCCAAGCGCTCTTTCTGCGTCTGGTGCACGCCCTGGCTCTGCCCACGCCTCCCATTGACCAAACTCTCTGTATACATGATGTGCCACCTGAACCTCCAGCGTTCCTTGTAACAACTCTATGTCCTAGACTTGTCAAACACAAAGTTGGAACCAAAAGTTTGCGAGGCTCGCCGATCAGACTTTCGCGACAGAAGCGCCGCGGCGGCAGCACGAGAGTCCGGGCGGCGTGCTCCGTAAGCTCTGCCCCAACCTTGTGTTTAGAAGAATTTAGGAACTTGGGTAGAATAACCGGAGCACTTACCGGGAACGGGACGCACACTGGATGAGTGCCGACGCCTTGGCACGCAGCAGACGCTTGAAGGCCAGTAGAAGGTGTTCTGCAGCGGGCGTGCCTCCGAGCTTCGACACGTGCTGCACGAACTGAGACACCTGTGACTCCATCGCGGGGCTGCGTGCCGCCTTGAGCCTGCAAAGCAGCCAAGAGGGGCAGACGGCGGAGCCAGATGACGCCTACGGGGCATTTCCGAACGCTGTTTGGGCGTAAAATATTTGTACGAATAAAAATAAATAGAGGAACTGAATGAAATTGAACTTTTCATTAAGGTGTCTTCAAAGGGCGCACTTGTCATACTCAAATTTAATGTGTAGGTCTTAAGGCGGGTTCGCACGGCATTGTTTTCTCGCGTTATGTATAGATCACCGAAACATTTGTGTCTCAAATGTCGGGTGCCAGGCTATCTCCTTGAACCGGTAGCCAAGCTTTATATCAAGCACAGATGTCCCGATGACTTGTACGTAAGCCTTCATAACATAATGCAGTGGTTCTCAACCTCCAATGTTTCGCGGACCCCTTGTGTATCGGCGGAGATGATGGAGGACCCCTTTCGTGGTGAAGGGAGGGGGAAAATGTATTAGTTAAATACAAAAATGATTTAATAAATGGATATGACTAAGAGCTAGTATGAAGTAGACTTCTCATATTGACATACACACTAGAAAACTCGCCTGAAAACGAACATATCTTCTCGATCTAAAAAAAAAAACTACAACTTTTATTGCCGGGCTTTACTGACGAGGCAAGGCTTCACGGACCCCTAGAAAGCCTTCGCGAACCCCCATTTGAGAACCACTGACGTAATGTAAGAAATCAAAACTGTGCGAAGCAAACTTCAGAGAAAAAAAATGCGAGTCTAGAAAATCCAGTTTTTCTCATGTTCAGAGAGGAAAACGGTCTGTTTCACGCTGCTGCTCAGATGGCGCAGCATAAAGCAAAAAATACGAAAGCTTCTTTGAGATGGACAACCTAAAGTAGACCCAAGCTGGCATTGTACCGTCTGCGAGTAGCTGTGTCAACCAAGCGGCTTTTACCGTTTTCCTCAATGTGCGCAGGTTTTGCACGTTGCGCGAGCTTCGCACGCGCTCCAAATCTTCCTAAAGTTTGTTGATTTAGTGTATTTGATCATGCTCGGCAAGTTTCTAACTGGAACTAGTTAAAAAATGAATAGACATATTTTGGGTTAATTACCGACTCATTGTGACTATTATCACCCTACATTATGCCCCCCCTGGCCATATAAGTCCCCTGCACAGATAACATTAATGCAGCTTTTGTGGCTCTTTTTTTTTTTTTTTTTTTAAACAAACGTGTAAAGCTCAGACAGAGACGCCCTGTATGTATATAAACGAGGGGAGGCATCCACTCACTTGCGTGTGAGCGGCGCCCTGAAGCCCACATGGAGCGGGCACTGCCAGACGCGTCCCTGGCTGACGTCCACCACGGTGGACGGGTGGGGGGACCAGAGGAGCTCGCGGGCCGACAGGGGTCCCGCCCCTCCCAGCGGGGTCCGCACTAGCCCCTGCAGCTGCAGGCCCGGCACGTAGCACGGAGGGAGGCCCTCCTCCCGGGAACCCCGTGGCCCCTCCCAGAGGGAGCACGACAGCTCCTCGTGGTCCAGGAACGCCGTGAGTGCCCGAAGCGTGGCCTCCACCTGCAACCGTCGCGAATCGTCCCTCGAATGATCCGGGTAGTGGCAGGGCCACGAGAAACAACCGAAGCCCGCGGACTAGCACTTCGACGGCATTGCAGCGAGGTCGAGCGCAGACGCAGATTGGACGCAGAAATAAATGCGGAGAAAGTTTTGGTCTGCCACAATACGAGCAATTGATGACAACTACCCGTTCCAACGTCTGTTTCTGAAAAAAGAAGTGAAGTGAAGGATACTTTTTGAATGTGTTAGCATTTATTGCCCCGGTGCATGCAGCCGTCTTTTGTTTAGACGGTCGTGGTTTGGACTGGATTCGTTTTTTGAGGCCGACGCACTTCTCGCAGTGCTCGTTTGCTTCGTTCGTTCGCTCGTTACGCCCACTATCCCTCTTACGAAAGGGAAACTCTTCTGGCATGCTTCCAGCAACACGCCACGACAAGGCGGGAGAGGAGGGATGAGCAGCCGTGGCGGTGGAACAACATACGCGACAACAAAAAAAAAACCGAGGCACTGTGATTACGCCGTTTGTGCGAAGTCGCTGACACCTGGAAGGAAAGATTGGCTCCCCGAAACAACGGTATGCAGAACGTTGCGAGGTTGGAATTCCCATACTCTGCCGAGTCGGATCCACAGCACTAAATGCTCGCCGATTTCTTTGAGAATCAATGTAGCTACAGCAGCGATTTCGGCGTCTTTGTACCTGGCCAATGGGGCCAACAGTATCCTACGATCTTTCTCTGGCAAACTGTGTCCTTGTATGGCTTGGATGGACGTGTCATTTTCATCACACGCTAGAAGATGGTTAGACGTCCCCATGCACTCACCTGCGCAGCACTGTCCCCTAAGACGACGGAACAACGACGAGTTTGCAAGTGCGACTGGAGTGCGCGTCGCATCAAGTCTTCCGGCATGCAGTCTTTGCTCAGGGCATCCACAGATGCCTGCAAGAAAAACAGTGCCGTTCCAACTCAAAGGTCAACAAACCTTCGAAAATCTGCGAAGCAGAACATCGTTTTAATTTTCTTCTTTCCTGTTGTGGCTGCCTCCAGGATTGAGACAACTGGCCCCTGTAGCACCCCATTGTTTGTGTTTCAGGCTTCCAATAGTCTCCTTACAATTCATTAGTTAGTGGGAAGGAAGCACCGAGCCAAACAATACGTTTTGCCCCTATTCCTCGTTCACAATGGAGAAGTTAACTGACAAAACTGGACCTTGAAATAACTCCACGGTCCTTTGGGGCAAACCGAATTGCATGACCCAGTCATCACCACAAAACCTAGAGCAAGCTTGACAAGTGTATGCAGCTGTTCATCCAATCTTTAGCAAACAAAAAAAGATCATAACCAAACTATGTCCATACCCTCTTGTCCAGAGTCCTTGTACGTAGGAGCGACGCAGCCAGGTGGAAGTACCGGTTGAGAAGCGTCGTGGCCTTGCTCAGGTTCTTCATTAGGTCACGCTGCAGAGGTCAGAGTGTTTGTGAAGCGGGAGTTTCTGACCAATTGTACGCGAGCGAGAGACGAGCAACCGTAACGAGAAACCAAGACCGAAGACAAATAGAACGGTGGAAAGCCAATGTCTCAGTTGTTGTACGAGTCGGTTCTAATATGAATCCGCTAGGACCCGCAATGCTGTCGCACGATTCAATAATAAAAGAATTAGTCCTCCATTCACGGAACATTATCTCGTGTGGTCTTGTGTGTCTGCTAAGGAAAACGGTCACCTAAAAGTGCTCGTAGTAGGTAAATAATGCGGGCGTGTACGTAGTAGCCATAGAGAGCAAACATGGACTTTGTAAGCCACACGATTTGAAAGGTACTACCAAGTAGGAATGAAATGTGAACAGAGGAGCCTGCAGTCTATGATACAGGCTGCGCTATCTAGAGGCAATTAGAAGCTATGGGGGCTGCGAGGGTGCACGCCTACTCTGATAAGCATATCCCCGTAGCCCTTCTCTCCGCAGTTCTATCAGTTCCTGTTACCACTAGGTTACACAGCGTGTATCGAAAGCAATGTGCTTTGCTGTTAGCATTTCATTCCTACCTGGTAGTACATGAATACAGTGTCGATGGAAGCGCAGCAGTGACCAAGTTCATTTACGATAAGGTCGTTTCATTAAACTACAACATCAATACGTACTGCTCTTTGCCAAGGGAACAGCTTCCCTCGGTTTTACGTGCGCAACCAACGAAGGGAAGCGGAGGACCGAAGACCACCTTTTGACGTGCGACTGAAATCTCGTTTGCATGCCTTCGATGCAATAAGTTTCCGTCAGATTCCGGGCGCATTGGTCGGGATTCGTACCCGCCACCCAGGGATCCGTGTGCCGATGCACCGCCTCGGAGCCATCGAGGCGGCTATGCTATGGTGCGGGGAACGCGTCCCAGACTGGCCTGTTTACTGCGTCCCCAAAAGTGATCTCTCGACGTATGCCCAACAACGTCACGGAAGTGTCGCGTTGTCGCCAACCGCGATCCCGGCGGCAGCAAAGTGGCGGCAGTGAATGCGGTGGAGGCCTGTTCCATTGCAGATCACTCTCCAGCTCGACAGGGCACGGAAACTTCGGCAGCTGGGGGATGGGACGCGGCGGCGACGCTCTCGCCCACTGTTCGCCGGGGCTTCTAGCACCAATCGCCCGAACTGCGACATCTGACGGCGTGACACTCTTGCCTTTGTGACATCGTCCCTCGCCACACCGGGACCACTTTCGACGTACGAGCAAAAACGAACGCTAAACGTATCCGGTCGAATGAGAGTTACAGATGCCGTAGCCGCGCCGACCCGACGTTGACGCGATCCGTGTGTACGAGGCAACGGAGGTCTATCAAGATGCCGCAGGCTTACCCCGGGGGTCCGGCAGACGAGCGCCACCCGGGCGAGGGCGAGGTCGGTGAGGTTGAGCAGGAGCCAGAGGTCTTTGAGGGCGGCCAGGCGGAAGACCGCGGTCACGCTGACGGGGGCCCCCGTCAGGGAGAAGGTCACCGCGTGCAGGGCCACCCGCTTGTCCGGCAGCAGCAGCAGGCAGGACCGCGTGTGCCGCTGCTCCAGGCCCCCGTGCAGCAGCTGGAGCACGCTAGATGCGTACGTCTCCTCCAGCTCCGTCGGGCGGCGGCTGGCCTGGAGGGGGCAGACGGACCGCTCAGCGCGTGCTTCGAGCACGTACGACCCGAGAACTCGCGTTTTCGGGTCGACCCTTTTTTAAATTAACAGTGGACGTACGGGTAGACGCCGAGGGAGAAGAGGGGACGAGAGAGCACGGGGACCTCGGAACAACGAGCTCTGGTTGGAACAATTAGTTGGTGGATGCAAAGCTACCTGCCTGCCTTTGTCTCCACTTGCTCCTTGGACACGTTCAAACACCAGGGTCCGGCGTTCACATTCGAATGTGTTGAAACAGTGAGTAGCCAAAAAGGCAGCTAGCTTTGCATCCACCCACTAATTATTCCAACCAGAGCCCACCGTTCCGACGTCCTCATGTGCTCTCGTCTCTTCTCCCTCAGTCTTTACACATGCAGGAAGTAGGTGAACCCCGAAAGAACACCAATTAATTGCAGAAAACACGGGTCTTTTATGCCTCTTTCGTTTTCATAATTTAGACACACGCAAGCTCAACCATCTACCTTTGTCCCTCTTGTCCACAAGCCACTGGTCTCGGTACTCCATGGCAACTCGCGATCAGACGCGGGGGATGCTACGAGCCTTCCGAGCCCATCCAATGCCGTGCGAGCATCACGTGACCTTAGATTGGCAGGGATGCAGGGCTGCCAACTTGAGGTAAATTTCCCAGATTAAGGTAATATTCGGGTCTATGTGGGAATAAGGAAAATCTTGATAGTTTGAGGGAAATTTCGGGCACCGTATATATTTAGAAATCTGTAGGTCAATTATATTTGTTTTTCGAGATAACGTAGAATTTCGGTGGCTTCGGCTATATTTCGGTTAGTCTCTGCATCTGTTTGGCGGTTTGTTGTGCGACCGTCTGGCAACACTGAGGAACACTCGAACAACTTTCGTCACCAAAATCAGTTTTCATCGCCGCCGTGAAAACTATGGAGGAAGGGACCAGTCAACTCGAATCTTCGGAGAGCGCCGCCGCGCCTTCTCAGAAAAGAAAGCTTGGGTACAAGAAGTACCGCGATGTCTGGAGATACAGATACCGTGTCCAAGATACAGACTTACCATGACTAAAATATACTTCATGAAGTGCCATGTACGAAATGGTGCTTACTATGTATCGTGTTCCACGTGTTTGAGTTCGAGAACTCTAGCTTGTGTTACAGCTTTTATTTTAGACTTACTATTATAAAAAAAAGTGCTAAAGAAGTTGTTAAAACATTACCATGTTCTGATGACGTGCATAACATTCCCTCATCACATTTGCTTCGACCACTATTTTGGCCCGATAAACTAATCTTTGCGAAACATACGCGAAGCATAAAGGCTACGTAATATATCTCTCATTGTAAAAATGGAACTGATGCAGAAAACAATATTTAGTATTATATAATTATTTGGGCAAGGGAGGTAAATTTAGGCAGAAATAGGAAACTTTCAGGCATCCGCAAGGGAAATTCTGCCTTTCCGTGTTGGCAGCCCTGCAGGTATGGCTCGGCGCATCTGCAGCGATTCAACATAAGGTGAAATGGGGCGCACAGTTGTAAAAGTTGTAATCATAACCTTTCTCTTGACTCTGGATGTTTCCTAATTACATCCATTTATTTGGTAAATAATGCGCCAACATTGGAACACAGCACAGGTATACTCCAAAAATGCAAGCATGGTAGGTTGAGATCCTGTAGTCATTAGACTCTAGAAATAATTGAATGTGCATGAACGGGGTCCAAGACGGTTTGCTCCCGTTTAGAGCTCTGGAGGAAGAGGCTTGGAGGAAGGCACTCGGCAGGTTGCGCGAAAGACCGGCCATGACCTTGCTTCAAAAGCTCGCCCTTTGTTTTTCCCCGAAGAGAAAAAAAAATATATACCCAAAGGGGCACACAACCTTGAGAGAAGGCCTGGAATTAAACTCCTATTGTCTCCCGAAGCATTATAATTCCTCAGACGTGCTCAGTTGGAAAACCCTCCCACTTCCTCCTATGGCAAAATACCTCTTAGTAGAAGCAAGGGGATTGTTTACATACTGCAGCCATCAGACACACGCATTAATCAACTGTGCCCCACGCAAGCCCAGCAGGTAATTAACGCGTCTTCCGATAAATATGATGGCACAACACGGTGAATGAACTGGCACATTAGAGTCATTTGATAGCCCTCTACACGAGGCTCCATCGTCTGCAAAAGCGCACATTTCAACTCGGGTTTTTCTGCAAGCGAGAAAATCCCGTTGGTGCCCCCTCTCCCAATCTGCGAGGGTAGAGAAAGAGGGGCTATACTTTGTTTCACTGTAACTTGGCAAAGAGCCAACAGTGAGCCAATTAGAGCGACGGAAGCCAGGCACGCGACCGCACTTACCAAAGTGACAAGGGCGAGGGTAGCCCAACAAGCTGGAGAAGAGGGAGAGGAGGAACTCCCCTGTTACCTGGACCCGTTTCCATTGGAGATTAGCAAGTCATTAAAAAGATTCATACAAAAGTGGCTTTCCTCTTTCTCCTCCCCGTGGCTTCGACAGCACTGCGTGCAACCGGTGAGAGAGTACGGTCATGTGTCTCCCTCCAGTGCGCCGACTGGCTCACCGTACGGCAAGATGGAGCACAGAAGGGCAGGGTGGAAGATCGAGAGCAAGGCTCTCTACTTTTTGCGCTCTTGGGGAAGGGTGTGAAAACCGAGAAAAGGTAAAGGAGGGAGAGGACTTGAGAAAAATTGGTGGCAGTCAGTTCATCGAACGACGTTTCATCGACAGATTGTTTCATTGACACGCAATGTTTCATCGACAGATTGTTTCATTTACAGGCAATGTTTCATCGACAAATCGTTTCACTGACAGCTCAGATTAGCCTTTTTCTGTAATAAGCTGCACAAGACTGTCGCCGCAAAGCGGCGTGTGCAGGTCGGTCGGGTGGGCTAGCATTTTTGTAATGAGCCGCCGCAGACTTTCACCGCACACCCCAGTGATAGGCCTCCTGCAGGGAAGCTTTGAACGTATCGTGGTGCCCTCCAGTGGCGGGCGATAGAATGTCTAGTAGTACAAGCAGTAAAAGTTCCGCGCACAATAACAAACCTGTTCGGGCGGCTGTTCACCTCTGCACGCTGCTGTTATTTGTACGTTTGCACGGTCACAACTGAAATGTGTCCACCCGTAGTCGTCACCGCACATTACCCCAGGGACCCGAGCTCACTGCAAGTTGGTCATTTTTTCTTCGTCCAAACATGTTGAAACCGGGAGCAAGCAGCACGGCCTCAATGAGTTCGAAATGTCGCTGTCGACAGTAGTCTTGCGCCGTCAACTGTCAAGAACGGGAAGGTATTAACCCTGGAGTGAACTTCTACGGATTCCCATCGAAACCATGTGAAGTCAAGCAGAAAGAACGATACTAACTGCCCAGCGCACTGAGCAAGCGAGACTCGTTTTTCTCGCCCTTCAGGTTGTTCTGCTAAGGCACGGCCACTCGATCAAGCGGCCGTGGCATGCGTCGAAATGTGTGTCATGCACATTTTACCAACAGGAACACGCTATGCTGTCCGGCCAGCGGAGTGATCCGATTGAGCTACATCTCTTGCAACGTGAGATCATGAGTAAAAGCGTCGCTCCCAGAGAGAGCTTTCCTTTGAAAAGACAAGCGTGCGCACGCATTAACGCACCACAGAAAGCAACAAGCATGTGTTGAAGGCGGAGCTCCTACTGCTGATCTTATGTTGCGTGAAGCTTACAGCGCAGATGTGCAGGAACTCGAGAGGGAGCGTGCAGTAAGAACAATGTGCTCGGCCGACAGACGGCCGGCCGACGCTCGGTTGCTTGCGTCTGCTTTCGCGCATTTTCAAGGTTGATCATCAGCCGATAGCGTTGGCTGCACGGAGGGACTGCAGTTGGGGAGATTTTGTTTACAAAGCATGCTAACGTATCTCGTAATGCTCCCTCAAGCTCAACATTAGTACAAGCTTGCTGTTTTTGCGCATGACAGCGTGCCGAAACCAAATCTGCGGCCTCTTGTACAGCGTAGACGTAGCTTGCATCGCCGAGTTTGGGGAATGAAAGAAGCTTTTCACGTTAGAAATAGGCTCGATTCCGTGCCGTAAAAAACAATTGCATAGGGGGAATTCTTACTGCCGGCCAACGTTTTCATGCGGGACAATTTCAAATGAGCAAGGTTGTACTACCTTATACCAATAAACAAATCGTAGGGGGCACAGCCAGCCAATTTTTCTGCAGCACCTCCTGGGCAAAGCAGGAGGCCTATGCATGTGTGACGAAATGCCCCTACAGCATCCAATTTGTGTAACGAGTGTGGATGAAACGTTGGTGCCCACGAAACGTGTCCATGATAAGTTGTCCATGAAAGGTAATGCCACGAAACGAGTTTCGATGAAACAAATAGGGGCGCGAGAAAGATTACGTGAGGAAAAGTGAAAAGTGCAAGGTAGGCCCCAATATGGCGGCCAACCAGGGACCCAGAAGCTGCCATGTTGGGGCACGGGATCGTTTAGGTTTTGAAGGGCGATTCCTCGCGGCAACGAGGGTACCTGCTGGGGTGCTTCATTCCGAACGAGGAAGGCTTCTGGGTTCTCGAGGAACTGGTGGCATTTGAGGTAGTGAGGGGCGCAATGAGGCGAGTCGTCGGCGGAGAGCACTCCGGGGCACTCCATGCGCCAACAGAACACGAGTTGGGGTCCCATTACGTGATCCCAGGATGACAGGTAGACGCAAAGCACGCCGTCGGCGGCCGCCGCCCCGCACGACCCTTCGTAGAGAAAACGAAGAAATGTAGCAGGAGCGTCAGCCGACGAACCGCTCGTGACGTTACCTGTTGATTTGGGCGTTGTGGACGACATTTCACCGACAGCGGAGTTCAAACACGCAGGCAACGACGAGCGCCTCCAAAGACTGCGCCGATGGATTGTGCACCCGCACACCCGGCTCTTGTTCTCACAGTCATAGGGGAGGCGTTGTCGGTGTTGTGAACTACAAAACGATGTGATGCTGGCGTACCGAACGAAGATCTATCCAGGCCCGTCTTCTGCGCAGAGTCGAGTTTGTTTTGTCTCATCCCACGGCATTAGCTGTGTACGGGCGTCAAGACTGCCGTTGGCTACCTCTGGTTTGTCTGCACTTCAGGTAACAACTGGGGAGAACTGTGGCGTATTATGCACTCGAGTTTACAACCCACATACGTTAAGAAAAAGGGGGCAGGCACATTGCCGGACGTACGCTAAAGCAAATCGTGTAAACCAAGTACGAAAAAGAACACCGATAGCCTGTGGAGATACACCACCCTTTTGAATTGTCGGTAGGTGGCGCCATCTATCTACTGTTTAATCGAACCACACGCTCAGTCCACTCCGCTTCCAGCAAGCATTCGTGTCGCCCTTTGGCTGGGTGTACTGGTGAAACTCCCAAGTCTCACTAAGGATGTGAGCTTCTGGCCCATTCTCAACTTGTATCCCACGATAAGATATATCCCATTATCCTCGATTATCGTCACAAGCGCGTTCAGAATCGTATTTTTTCTCGTGAGGAGTCGTAAGTTATAACATGCACATAGCTAGGAACTAGGTCCCCGTTGCGTCCAGTTCTCACAAGCCCAGGAAGTTGTTTAAAGATGGTTAGTACAATCCATAGAGATCATATACAATCTTCTGCAGTGTTGCCAGATGGAGAAAAAAAAAGTCAGCAGATTGATCCCCAAAAAGTCAGTAGATTTGCACAAAAATCAGTAGATTCCACGAAATATGTATTTTGCCATGTTTTGCTATCTCCATTAATACACACTTCGAAGAAATAGTATAGAGTAACAAATAACATGGTAATAAACTCAAATAAAAATGAAAGAAACAAACAAGACGAGTTCTCGAGTAACTTTATATGAAGGACAAATTAAAATGGCTCCATAAATGTTTTTGTTTTAGTCATTATTGACTGTTTCGAGGATTATTCTTTGAAATCGAGACTAAGGCACTTTTGGGAGCACAGATGAAGGCGACAGTGCGACGTTCACCTGTCGCTATTATTGAAACGAAACCGAAACAAGACGCTCCGGGAAGTGCGCGCAAACATGTCCAATGGAAGTCCTCTGCATGCTGCCATCGTTCCTTACTGGGCTGTGGAAGGTTTTTGAAGCAACGCTGTTGGTCCGGAGCAGGGTGTAAGATAGACAGGTGGGGAAACGGCCCATAGAAGCCTACCGCAGCGCCGTGACCGGATTGTGTACTCGTCTGCTTGCGGGTACCCCCGATTTGCGACAGATGGCGCTGCGGCGAGAGGAAAAAAATTGGAATTGAATTTGCGCGGAACTTTATGGGAGAGTGCGTAAAATAAACCGAGAGCACGACATTCCTTCATTGAAAATCCACGAGAAATCATCTCCGTGAGTTTAGCCGGTCGCCACCGGTCGCCCACCCGGAGTGAGAGTTCGCGGTGCTCCACATAGATGGCGCCACAGAAAAAGAGAAACCCGAGGGGGACACAATCCGGTCGCTCATTTGCCTCTCGTTTCCCCACCTGTCTATCTTACACCCTGGTCCGGAGTACTGTTGAGGCTACGCGTCGTCTGCTACGGGCTTATTTCTTTTTCGCCTGACCCAAAGTTTGCGTTCAAATGTGGAGAAACTTCATTCGTTAGCTTTTTAAGCCACCGAGGAATAGGATTATATCACTTTCTTGCCACAGCCTGCCAAATAATAGAAAATAACTGAAATTTAGATGTCGATCCCATGCATTCCGCCGAACGAATGCATGAAAATTGCGGCTCTCTTTGCTCAACTCGAAGCTATTCTAGTAGGCTGTATTGGAGCAGCCGAGAGTTCAGGCGCATGCGCAAACACCTCTCGCTCTGCGCCACGGGCTGATTGGCTCTTTAGGGAGAGGGACGTTACGGCGAGATCATAGGCTAGCCAAACTCTCTCCATATATGGCTCTGGCCCGGATGTCACCGTCGAACCTGCCCAACCTGCCGAACCTGCTCTGGGTGAATAGATAGATGAATATACGGCTACGTCACTCGAATAGGACGGGCTTCTGGGCCATCTAGCCAGTGCTTCGTTTTTAATTCTGGGACATTATGAGTTTCCTTTGATGGGCGAACCTGGGAACTGAAGGGGCCATATAATAAATTTTTAATATGTTTACTAAAAAAAAGTCAGTAGATTTTCTTGTTTTTCAGTGAATCAGTAGACCCGGAACGAAATCAGTAGATCTACTGATAAATCAGTAGACCTGGCAACACTGATCTTCTGTAAAGTGTATATTTAAAATAAATAAATAAAATCAGCCCGCCGGGAAGCCGTCATTCGTGATTGGCTGTCGTGTGTCCTCCCCTGCTGCCTTCCCGTCCAACGGCGCCCCCTGATGTTCTGCGCCATGGCACAGAAAGGGGGGCGTGGCACGATCTTTGTTTGGATTTCGAATAAGCGAATCGGCCACCTTCAAATGAAATTTTTGGGGTTTCTAGGGTGATTATAGAGCCCATAGATCTGAGTTACAATAAAGAGACAATCTCAGAATCCACTCTAGTGGCCCTTTAAGGAAGGCCTGCAGGATGACCTCAAGGACGGCGTCCTAGAGCACCGCAGAGACTACATCTACGAGAGCCTCTAAGGTGATGTCAAAGTCGGCGGGTCCTCCAAAGGGGGAGAGAATGTGAGCTGAAATAGTGTACTGCACACACCTATTGTGCATTAGGAGGCCAAAGAGTCCAAGAAATCCAGGGGAAGGTAGCTAATGAATGCCATCGCATAGAAAGGATGCGTGTGCACACTGCACGGTTTTCGGCAGCAGGCACAGCACGGCGTTGGGGAGGATTTTGGTGCAAATTGGTCGGTGCTACAGTGTTATCTGTGCAACATCACATTCGTGACCAAGTTTTCGTGACATTGATCTTCCAACTTTGCACCTCCTTCCAAGTGCAGAGAAAGACAGTTCTACGTAACAAAAATTGAGCGTGTCTGCCCACATTCTTGCAAGAACAGAGTAAACAGGCAGAAACATATATTGCCATGACCAGGTATACTTCCTTTTATTTGCTAGCAAGTCCTGAAACGTGACGTGCACTTTATTGAGGAAGCACGCCCAGGAAATACTGGTCGGCCACGGCCAATGCAAGCTGTACATTTGTGTCCCATCCCAATAATCGTTGTCATTCGCCATCGTGCAGTAGCAGATTTGACGGCTAGAGGAAAAAAAAATACTGAGGTAGGCAAAAACAACGGGGACAATAAACAAAAACCGGCTAAAATAATCAATTTGCTTGCTCGTAATACTCCAAACTGTCAAAACTGCAAAAAACTACGCGCAGAAAAAGGAACACACGCGTTAATACTCTCTACAAGGGCTGTGCCGTTTCTAGACTCTTGAAACTCTTGCACACAGCTCAAGCAAACCACTGACTGGATTCGTGAATAATTACATATATATAAAAAAAAAAAGAATTAAATAAAAGCAATTTTAAAAAGAAAAAGTTGTGAAGGAAAAATAAGACAAGATCCTAATACTGAGACAAAACGAGCGCACCACAACGGCAACACCGCCGTCGTCGGCACCCCAAAGCGAGTGGTGAAGGTGTGCCCCTTCCCCGGAGGAGTGCTCCCTTTGTTCGTGTGACCCCTGCCCACAACTTTGGTGTGAAGCGCGAGAAAACTCGCGGCCTCAAACATGGGCGAGTTCGTTGGAGGCTTCAAACGGCGACAGGTCCGTTCGAGGCCCCAAAAGGCGACGGGTCCATTGGAGACCTCAAGTGGCGACGGGTTTGTTCTAAGCCTCGTGCAGTGATGGGTTCATCCATTTAAAGCCTCGAAAGGTGACGGGTCCTCCCATTCAAGGCCACGGGTCTGTCTGCAGCCTGAAGGAGAGTTCATTGGAGGCCTCAAATGTCGACGGGATAATCCGTTCGAAGCCTCAAAAGGTGACGGGTTCACTTGAAGCCTGAAGTGGTGACGGTTCTAATAGAGGCCTCGAAAGCTGATGGGTTCGTTCAAGGCCTTAAATGGTGACGGGTCCATTTGAGGCCTCAAACAGGGACTGGTCCGTCCGAGGCAGAAGACGCCGATGATCCTGTAGGTGTCGGGTACGGCTGGGGCCGCCGCCGTGCCCTCCGGCGTTCTCGGAGCGTCGCCCTGATCTGGTCGAGCTTGCCCCGCAGAAGCCGGTGTTCTTCTTGGCGCCGTAGGGGTGGTTCTTCGGGGGGCGGGGATGTGGGAGGCGTCGCGGGGGGTGTGGCCTGTCGGGGGGCCGGGCTCGGGCCCGCCCCTTTCCAGCCTTGGCTCGCGCCGAGAAGGTCGCGAAGGATGTGGAGGATGGTCGCGACGTGGCGACGGGGGCGACCGTCACCGTCCTGGAGCTCGGGGCCCAGCGTTCCCGAGAAGCTACCCGAGTAGACGCCCTGACCCAAGTGGCGCAGATGGTCTATCACCGCCCCTCCGGCCCCCTGCGACAGAACAGACGACAATACGGGTAAAGCCAGACCTGCCCCACTGTAGGCTCCATTTCGAATGCACACCATCTTGCATGCCATCATGCACCGATCGTCAACCAGACGTAAGGATCCCCCTTTTCAGCGCGTCTACTTTGAATGCCTCCTCATTACCCGGTAGACCTCCACTGATTGGAATTGCCTTTCCAGTCTCGTTACAATCACCAACACCGCTGATTTTAAAATCGCAATGGCTGATTTCGTCAAAGGATATGTTTTGTACCAGTTTCATATTTTTTACCTTTTTATTATTACTTTCATATTTATGTTACAGTGACCACTCCTCTAGTAATACCTTTAGGCACTGAGAAAAAATTGAAATTAACTGAAATAAAATGCACCCTTGCCAAGGTTAGAGTATAGTTCTGCAGTCTTGCACTGCACTGGTGCACACATTATTTGCAAGTGCTCTCGCATAGAAGAAATGCAAAACGGAGTCCGATGCTTGTGCAAGTGACTGACAGCACAGACAGAACTCGGCAAGCTTTCACAACCTTGTGCAGATAAGTTGATGCCGAGTATAGAAATGCCAGTGTTTGGTAGAGTACAGCTAAAAGTACTTGAAGTGGAGTACAAAGTAATTGAGAGGTTATGTACCTCGAATAAAGCAGCAAATACAACGGGCACAATGTACTTAGTAAAGTACATAAAAACAATGTACCTCCAAAGTAAAGTACAAGTGCTTTTTAACACTATCTTTTGTGATGCCTTACATCTTAGTGCTTTTTTTTTTTTTTTTTTTTACTGGTACGCATTGTTACAAGGGTAATCGGGGGTGTATCGGTTATTTTCGGAAATGGCGGCGAATAATGAATAAAGTCAAGCGGCTATAGAGTAGTTGTTTTACTTTCGCAGACAACAACAGGGGATCTGAAATAATCAGGCTCGATCTAAAATGGGCCGTAAAAATTGGCGCCTGCACGTTGCAATTTAAACTTTTCGTCAAAGGTGTATTTCACAGGTCAGATTTATCTCGTAAAATTACAAAGCGTAGCTCCCTCTGTGAAAGATTGGGTAAAAAACTTTCCACGGTCAACGGCGGACGGCGACAATCTAGTCGAGTGGCGGACGCGTTTGGCCCACGTATTGATAGATGGCGCTACCTCCTCATCGAGACTGTGATACATTAAAATGAATATAATCTTCTTGTAATTTAATGTTTGTTTAAAACTAAATGCGAACAATTAAAGCAAGTAAAAAAAAAAAAGCAGTTGCACAACGAAGACATTTTTGCTGCCAATAAATTTTGTCTGCGTGCCGTCCGCTTTCTTTCGTGCTGTCGGCTAGAGCCACTAAATGAGCTACGCTTAGAGTATCGGCACTCTGTCCCCCGACATTGCTATGGGAGCCGCCATCTTGGTGCTTAGTAGAGAGCAGACGCAACTTCCGATCGTCACGATTCAAAAGTGCGACCTCCTCAGCATCAGATTCGATGTTAGGAAGCTAATGTAATACTGGGTGCGTTAAGTCCGTGCTCCGGAGCGCGAGAGTTTCGTGCTCCTTTCACTAAACGGACAGGAGTGCCACTGGAGACTGACACTCGAGCGCGCTCTTCGAGCACCGAGAATTTCTCGGAGAGCGAGCGACTTCTTCACGCTCTGTGACGTCACATAAACGAACAAGATGGCTGCACTGCTGTTGAGGCCGTCGAGACGAAAGGTGTAGCCGGACCACTGCTCCTTTTCAGTTGATTAGTGCTTAATCCAGGAGGTAAAAATGATTTGATTTAAAAGTCAAGACAGCAATTAGCGTTAAAAAAAAGTTCTGTTCCCGCATCTCGCCTGAAAAAGAAATTCATCTACCTACCGGTAGCGTGCCGACAGCACAGCGACAGAAAAGTTGTCGAGATGAAGAGACATTTGGACTGCACTGCCCCTTTTGTAATGCTTAGTTCAGCGAGTAAAGATACTTCGATTTGAAAGCCGAAACATCAGCGAGCATTGAGGAAAAGGTTTGTTTGTGCGCCTTGCCTGAAAACGAATTGATCTATCGAACGAGCGTGCCGATGGCTCGGCAACAGAAAAGTTATGATGAAAGGACAGACCGCTGCCCTGCTTAGAATGCTTAGCCCAGCCGCAGCGAGTGAAGATACTTTGATTGGAAAGCTGAAACATCAGTTAGCGTTGCGGGAAAGGTTTGGTGATGCGTCTCGCCTGAAAACGAATTCATCTATTGCACACTAGCGTGCCGACAGCTCAGCTACAGAGAAGTTGAGAAGACCGTCGGAACGCTGCCGCTTAGCCTAGCGAATCAAGATACTTTGATTGGAAAGCCGAAACATATCAGTTAAATGTTGCGGAAAAGGTTTGTTCTTGCATACCTCCTAAAAACGAATTGCTGAGCTATCGAACGACGAACGACGGTGTGCCGGTATCTGCGTGGTTCTGTCTCACAGCGCGAGACGGAACCACGGAATCTCTGACAACTTTGAGGGTTTCCTTCGTCGACGAGCGGGTTCAAGAATGTCGTCTTTAATTTAAATCGGAACGGCATACATGGCCAATAAATAGATCGGCCAAGGTAACTTCCCACATGTGTGCACGAAGCGAGTTTTCATACTTTTCAGGAATATTAAAACGTTCGTAGAAACTTCATAACGTCGCCGTCCCTTTTGCTTTAGACTCTGCCGCTCCACACGGGCCTAATTAATTTATCTTCGAAATAATTTCGGCTTCTGCCACCCGTATCCAGGAGAAGCCGGGACAAAGAGCTAGTGTGGGGCTTGTTTATAGTTTCGGGCCATGTTCCAAAATTGACTCGATCTCACTCTAGGGTAAAGGTTCTGTACCTTAGCGTGCGAAAACCTACCCGCGTCCAGCGTTTCTCTATTTTTGTTGTCACGTGACATAATCCGCCAGGGTAACTCGGATCCATGCGAGTAGATTTGGAACGCAGCCTCAGTGTGGTACCACCTGAATTTTTACCCTATCTTTTACAGAAGGGGAGCTACACTTTGGGATATCACGAGATTAAACCGATCTGTGAAATATAACTTGGACTAAACGTTTAGATTGCTACATGCAGGCTCCGATTTCTATGACCCATTTTACATCGAGCCTGGTAATTTCAGACACCCTATATTTTACGGATCAAAACGGAAGCTTGAGCGTGTTGGTAAGGCAAGACTAAAACGTACAGCACAAACAGACGGGACAAAAGAGAGAAGACGCACGGTTCAGCAATTGTGTGTCTTCTCTCTCCCGTACAGTCTGTTTGTGATGTACATTTTAATTATTTAACATATTCAACTTATAAGGCACTTATTTGTTGACAAAGCATAATTTTGTCACATATCTAAAAATACCAAATTTTGGGAAAGTTAAATGCTCCATTGACAATGCAATAGAAGTGCTTTCCGAGTTGGCTCGCATAAATGAATTTCCAGTATTTTCAAAAGGGTAAGAAAAAATTATTCACTCCCGCATTATTAATTTTTGTGATAAGTACTCGCTCATTACTGACTGTCAATCTGCCCCCCGGCCCCTTAGTGATGCTACTGACTTGGATGTACTGGACAATATAGATGAACATTCCAAAGACTTAGAACTGAATGTTACTGGAGTAAAAGAACTTTAATTCAGGTGGTACCACCAGAGGCTCGATCACTTGTTCCGAGTTAGAGTGCGTAGTCAAAGCTTTTGGGATCTTTCTCCCTGCCCAGCCTAAGTATTGCTGACAAACAACTAAAATAACCTTGATTGAAGCAAATGCCACCAACGCTTAATCTATCAATCTGTTATGTCCCTCGTAAATTATACTTTTGTTTGATTGGTAAGGGGCGACCCTTATAGAAAAACTTGGGGGATAAAAAAAAAGTTTACATTTTAACTCCAAATTGGGTTTTTCGTTCCACTCACTTTGAGAACACAATATAATTCAGGATAAAAAAAAGTTTGCTATGCAAAGGAAGCCAAACAATCTCTATGGGTCAAATAAAGGTGTGCACTTTTTTACGGGACACCTCGTATTTTATTGGCTCCTAGATACCTTCCAACGAAATCTGAGAAATATTTTCTAATCACTTTCTAAGCAAGTGATTTTATTTCTTTCAACTTTTATTAAAAATATATGATAAATGCCAAGTTTTACATAGCAGTTGTTAGATTTCCTAAGGCTATTTATATTTAAGTTAATACTAAATATCGTCTCATGACGAACACGCTTTTAATGATGCACTGACAACAGAAACAAACTCAACTTTCAAAAATTAAAAATTTCATAATTTGGACCCGATTCAAAGAATTTGTTAATCTTGAGTTAGCATTGCACATCACTGAAGGTCCATGTAATTAAAAAAAAAAAATGCAGAAAAAACATTGATGCGCTATCAAGTGTGAGAAATAGTTTAAAGGCCGACATACAACCTTGGTTTTCTGCAGCGAAGGTAATTCTTTTAGCCCTTCCCAAGCTGCGAGGAGAGCCAAGTTGGGCAAGGTAAAAAAGTGGAGAGGATGTACGAAAGGAGGAGGCGGACACAAGTGGAAAGTGTATGTGGGCCTTTAGAGGAGCGATGCAACAATTTTTGTACTTTGCGCAAATACCGCTTAAAACAGAACCCCAACGCTAATGACCTATGAAACACGCGTTCGTTTTTCACCCCCACGCAATAGGAGTCCCAGAAAAAAAATTGAAGAAAAACGAGCAGCTTTCACCCCCTCAACTCGCAGCCAGAACAAGCAGCCACGTGATCTGGAGCCGATTATATGCCGCCAGTGTAGATCATAGCCACGCGCTGGGGTTGGCAAAGCGCAGGACACGCGCCGAGGTCCAGACATTGTTATGGCTCGGCTGTTGTCGTTGCAGCAATTGGACACGGGTCACTACCCGAATGCTTCTCGAGCTAGCAATTATCACGAGCCCAAGTCGAGTGCCCACGCAATGCTCGGGTCCAATCTATGAACCGCATTCAAATATCGTCACTTGGGTGTACTGCGATCCCCACGTTACGTCATCAAATTTTTCAAAGGAGAGATTGAATGAAAGTGATCGCTTTTGTCCTTGATATTACACCGCAACAAAAAAGTTTCTTGGCCAGTGGCGTTGCGTGTGAGTATCCTCGAGTCCCAGGTGTGCCAGTAAGCTAGTGTCAAGTGAGAAACATTCCAATTGAATATCGTTGCACCGCTCCTTTAAGCAGTTTCTTCATTAATTTGTAGTCTGACGCATCTGGGTAGTCCAGAAACCGAAAACGGAGAAAGTGCACACTCACGGGCAGGGATTCCGTGGGGGCCGCCGGTGGAGGAGGCTGGGGAGGGGCGGGGCATCCGGGGGTCGTGGGCGTGGCCGGGGGCGTGTCCGCGGGGGGACACAGCTGGAGTTGCACGAACATCACGTGGTCCCCGAGTCGCATCGTCAGGTGCAGCGGCGCCCGTCCGCACAGGAAGTTGTCCACCTGCGCGGGCAGATGGCGCGTCCGTCACGCTCGGCTTCACACGACCCGCTCGGCTTCACACGACCCCCGCTCCACGCTCTTTGTGCATTCAGCGGCGCGCCGGCGCATGCGCAGACTCGCGCACCCGAGCGAGAGCAGACGACAAAACGGGCGACATCGCGAGTCACCACACGCCGCGACATTTGCTGGGAGAAAGGGCACGCGCGACGACTGGCGATAACCGTGACCCCGCATTGCGTTGCGAAGGCTGAAATGTCGCAACCAATTAATAACCTGATATTTTTTTTATTTTTTTTTCACGTTTTAGGCGAGCATTTACACACGCTCTGAATCGCGATTCGACGATAGCAGACGATATTTTTCATTGCGCGGCTAGCATGGCGCGACACAATGGAAACGCCGCTCAATGTAACATTTCGTTTTATATCACATCGCTCGAATCATCCGACACAGGTGTTCTAGAAGCGCGAGCAGCTTACCTGCGCGTCGCTGAGCGACTCGAGCGCTTGCATGACGCTTTGTTCGGGCCTCACCGTCTGCAAAGAGCGGGCAAAGCGCGTGGTCTGAGCAACCGACCGAGCACGGGTGACGTCGGAGGCGTACAGCCCCGGGGGCAATTACCTGGATACCGGTTTCCACGCTTGGCAGCAGCGTGAGCCTCTCGCCGTCACGCACGTTGTTCGAGTCGAGCGTGCCGTCTTTCAGCTGCCTGCGGGGCGACAGAAGGAAATTAAAAAAAAAGTTGCGTAGCGAGCCGCGGGTCCCCCGACATCCCACGGACGACGGCGCGGTCCGACGCCACCCCACGCTCGACCCACGGGTCCGGAGGCGTCCGTGGGAAAGACCCGGAGTGGCGACACAGTTTACAAACAGCGGCCGAGGGCACCACCGAATCGATCGACCTTCGCGCTGACGTCAACTGTGACGTCAATGGGCCCTACGGGGGCGAGCGAAAAAAATCGATGCCCGACTCCCCGCGCGCTTGACGTCACGGTGCACCCACACAACCCGGCCGGGGATGCCGATTCCCACCGCCGAAAACTGGGAGAAAAGAAAGCGGCAGTGCACCGCTCTTCGGAGATGCAGCCGCCACCGCCATCTCGAAACTTTATTTTCTTTTTTTCGCGTGCAGAAAACGGCTTTGCCTGACCGCGGCAGCGGTGCACGCTCGAGAGCGTCGTCGAAAGCGTCCAGGCCGTGGGGCAACGAGCGCATTCGCGTTATCATAGAGTGCCGGGGCCATCGGACAAAGGACGCTTGTGCAGGGGGGGAGGAAGGAGCAGTGGGGGGGAGGCTCACGCCCGAGCGCTCCGTCGGTCGGCAGCGTGGGAGGGCGACCGAGAGCGCTGGGCCACCCACCGCATCCCGCGTGCAATTCCGGGAAGCTTGCCCGTGGGCGGCCGGGGTATGCGCGCGTTCCCGTGGGCGGATGGGACCCCCCCACACGCCTCGTCCTGCTACGACTCAAGACCACAACGGGCGCGACACCGCAATAAAAAGGCCTCGAGAAGTGCTACGGGAGATTCAATTTCTTTTTTTTCTCCCCGCAACCACCACGATTAGGAGGGGGGAAGTGAGAGGGGAGCGCACTGACCTGTTGCGGTGCAGCAGGACTATCCGGTCCTTGGCGAGCCGCAGTCGAGCGGAAAGCGTGCGTTTGAGGGACGCGACGCTGCACTGGGGTTGCAGCTCGAGTTGCATGCGTCCGCCCGTGGTGGTGTGCACGCTGACCGTGATGCGGCCGCCCTCCGCTGACATGACGCCTCCACCGCCGACGCTCGCCGAATCGCTGCTGCCGCTGATGACCGCGGCACCGCGGACCGACCGCTCACTCCTGTCGTGGCGCTGCTGCTGCTCGCCATCCGTCCCTGTGATCCGTCCTTCTCTCCCGTCCTCTCTCTCAAATCACGAGTGTCCTTTTTTTCCGGCGTTTCGGCCCACTCGAGCGTGACGTCATATTAGACAACAATGTAGCCGGCTAAGCGAAACGAAAGCTAAGCGCTCTTGTCCGAACTGTCGCTAATCCATAGCCAGGACGTGCGAAATAGCTGGAAGCGAAGAGAAATAGCCGTAGCCAAAAAGCCGGCTCAAGCACCTCTCTTTCTGCCGGAAAGTTTTCGACCGGGCGGCGAGTCCCGCCAACGTGGTGGAGTCGTCTACTGCCAGGGGGGTAGAGGTGGGTGAGGAGGAGTGGCAAATCCCGTGCGCCGACACCCGGGGTCCTGAGTGAAAGATCGCAAAAGAGAGCGACAAAACACGAGAGAAAGAAAGCAACGTTGCCAGCTGAAGGACGGCAGTCGCAATGGTAAACGCAAAGAGTGAAAACTCTCAGCAATATAAACAGTGATAATTTAACGTTGTAAACTAAATTCTGAGCTATTCTAACGTTTATAAAAAGCAATAAAGTCATTACGCTGCATTAACTTCCCTTCAGTCGAAATCTTGGAAATCTAGTGGTTGCGCAGTTTCGTATTTCTCAACCGCGCCCACCGGCGAAGCCGGGTATAGACCTCTTTATTACAGTAGTTGCCTGACCGGCGGGTAGAGGGCGCTGGCGCACTCGGCGCCATTCTAAGCTTAAATGGTAAAACAAAATGGCTAGGTGGCGTAAGCTACCGCCCGATCCAAAGGGCTCAGCCGTATTCATCCATCCATCCATCATCCATCCATCCATTAGGTTGCTTCAATTTGGTCGGTTTCGGTTTCAACGTACACGCGATTGTGATGCTGTTTCATGCCACTTTCGATTTATTTTGCGATATGAATTTCTTTCTAGTAGCACACAGCGAATGAAACAATAGTATTGAGCCACTTGGGAAACCACGAAGTGGTTTCGAGCCTAAATTGCGATCTTTTTTTACGAACACTATATGCGTCTGATTCCGTCCATCATTAATTTCGGCCAGGTTCGGCGGTGAAACAACTGCGCTGATGCACAGGGAGGGGTACCATTGTCCACGGCCGTACCCGCGGACACTAATTTCAAGAAAAAAAAATAAAGAGCAGGACAAGCTCCGCCTGCACAGTGCGCTCGTTGCCTGCCGCCGTGCTTTGGCTGTGCGTGCACCGAGCGGTACGGAAGTAGATAGCTCGCGCTCAAGTCAGATATTGAACTGATCATCTTATATTGCAACAGCCTATATTGCATGAGTGCTTAGTGAAAAATCAGGTCGACAACATGATTAACAATCTGCCGAATCACCAAGAACAGATGAACTGACAAGTTTACTGTTCGATGTTTGATTTCCGTACACCAACCTTTTCTAACTTCGAGACTGGAAATGTCTTTTATAATGACTAGACGAGTTTAATATAATCACGTAGATAATATAAAAAAGTGATATTGTCTCGGCCTGTTTTATTTAAAGAAATTAAGCTCTCGACAAATATTTTGATAGACCAGCCTATGCTGACTATAAAATTTCTTTAACTAAAGTACTCATTTACAGCATTTCAAAATATTGGCCTTATGAAATAAACTTTTTGTCATTTGGACATTTGCTTACGACGTTCTCAAGGTATGAGAATGGTAAGATAAGTGAATGCCAGCTTCAAATAAAGTCTGATATTCATTTTACGTAAAATTTGCCGAATGAAATTGAAGAGCGCAAAAGAAATGATTTCCAATAAGTTTGGCTGAAGTCGAACGCCAGGCGCCACCCAATGGACCTGTGTAGAAAGCTGTTCACTGATTTGAAACGATGCTCTTTGCACATTTTGACGTCGCCATCTACTGAAAGTAACTCCCTATGCGCCGTCGACAATTGGCTGCACTCCGGTGATTTTCATGCAGAAGGATTCTTTTCGGCGTCACATTTTATGAATCATAGGCACTATCAAGCTGTCTGTGGTAGTTTCTTACGCGGGGAGTCCAATTATTTGTGTTGAAATAAATTAATTGAAATTGCATGGTTATATTAAAAAAATTACTAAAGCAACTGAAAACTATGGACATGGGACCAAGCACGATATACAATTCCGTGGTATTCATAAATAAACCGATAAAGCGAATGCTTATATCACACACGCGATTAAGAACGTAAAACAGATATAGGTGTGATTTTGCGAACAAACAAGTTGCCTAATGCTAAGGTACCATTATTTCTAGCATAAAAAATTATTCAAACTAAATGTTTGTTCCCGCGCCCTGTCCACTAGTTCCCTAGTGTAATCAAAAGAAACTGTTTTCGATCTGTTGGAACTACAAAACACCATTTTTTCAGGAAAAACACGTGGCTAATTACGCTGAGTGGTTTTGTTTTCTTCCTTGACACCAATGCGCACTCATATATATATATAATAACACTGGGCTTCCTATTGAAAATGTTCCGCCCTTATTAGTAACCAAACTTCAGTTCTCATAAGTTATTGGTATTTGAACCCTCGAGGCTCTCTTCAAGTCCTATATGTTCTCAATGTGCGCAAGTGCTAACGCTGATTCCTGCTCCTATAAAACCTTTTCACACGTATCCCGCACGCCGACGGTAAAAAATATTCAAAACGTGTTACAAAATCAATTACAGAAGTTGCGCGCATAATGATGTAATGCAATTGCATGGTAAGTAGAAGTGTCGGACGACACTTTACGGAGTAACGCAAGAGACGCGGTGAAACGCGACGAAAAACACGAATTCAACGCATCCGCCAAGGCGCGGACGGGAGAGCGGAGCGACAAGTTGAAGCAACCCAATGGCGGCCGCATCACGTGATTCCAAGATGGCAGCGCCCATGCGGTGGAGGGTGAAAAGGTCTATATGGTATAGTTTAGCGTTAACGCGAGGCCGTACATCTGCGCGCTATGCAAAAAGAAAGCTAAGAAAGGAACGCGAATATCTTTCCACCGGTAAGTTCGTGGATTGTTGAAGTTCACGAAACTGCTCTGATGATGTGACCGTGTTTGGGACCCCGAGGGTCTGCCTGCATGCTCCACTGCTTGCGGCAGCCAGAATGTATGGGAAAATGGCGGACCTTTTCCTCTAGAGTTAGTATGTATGACCTCTATGTCTACTGCGTCCAGAGCCGTGTACCGAGAGAGCTTGGCCATTAATTAGGGGTGTCGCGAACCGGCCAAGGTTCGACTTCGGCCAGGTTCGACTTTTTCGACCTTCAGTGGAAAATTCGACGAACCTTGTATTGAGGTTAGAGCTGTGCACCGGTCAGAAATCGCCGGCGGCGGCGCGCCGGTGTTTGTACCTCCGGCGGCGGCGTGATGACGGCGCGGGGATCAACGGATCGGCGGCGGCGTGGCGCGGAACATAGAGTAATCTACGCTAGAGGTTCAACTGGCGCTAGTGTCTATGCGACTTCCGGGAGGCAAAGCAGACAGCAACCAGTCTACTTTTGCGGTGCTCCTGTGCATTCCTATGGGAAACCGCACGTGAAATTTGCCTCTTCGCCGGAAAATAACACGAATGGCTTTTATTATTTCTCCTGTACCGGATAGTATGTACACTTATTAATATTGTAAAAGTGTAATTGCTTTAAGTACAGCATTTTTCTTTACCACTAAACGATGTTAAGCTTCGCTATATTTCAGGCCCAAACCTATGTTCCATGGCAGGTATGTGAAAACGAGCGACGATTCTAAGCAAACTAACGATCGAAAAGAATGTAGAGTGTGTTCAAGGTTCGCTAGCATTGCGGTGGCGCTTGTATATTGCTAATATGCCAGTCCTGTCACTCTATAAAAATGACTCCGTCGTGCAAAAAGACATTCGAATGTAAGAAATAAAGTACGTGGACTACGAAAGGTGTGCCTTTTTATTATTTCCTATGTCGGGCAGTTCTTATCGGGCCCCTGTTCTCTGACCTCTCCCTATTTGCAAAGTATTGGAGCGTGCGGTTGATGATTTGAACCCAGAACATGCTTTGCACATATTCACGAGCAGAAAGAATAAAGCAGTACTTATTTAGTAAGGTACGTTGTTGGGCTAGTTGGTTCATCTTAGTAAAACATATAAAATAGCGCAACAGAAACAAGGACAAGAAGTAAAGCGCCTGTCCTGTTTACTTCTTGTCCTTGTTTCTGTTGCGCTATTTTATATGCAGTACTTATTTATTGCAAATCGGACTATATTAGGTGGCTTTCAATTTATTTTGATCGCCTGCATGCACAAGGAGTTACTTATCCAATGTTACTGCGTAGTTCTTGCCGTCTCAATTGGTTTTCCACATGTCCTTCGTTCATTTGACACGTATATCCCCATGGTGGAAAGCGCCGATGCCGTGTTCGCGCTAACAGTGTCCGACAGTGCACATAAATACACGTACGAAGCCGTTTTAGCACCGTTTTTAATCCGATGAATTTGAAAGAAAAACGCCGTAACTGACCAATTATTTCGTCTGCCTGACTGAGAAATGTTCCAAGCTTCCTAGTACGTACGAATTATTCGTGATATTTGCTCTTATATTCGAGCGCGGAGAGAAAATGTACTCGCTTTTTCCCATAGAAATGCATTACCGGAAGTCATAATTTCCGACTGGTTGCTGTCTGCTTCAATTTGCAGCAGCACACTAGCGCCACTTGAACCTGGCGCGGAAGAGGGAGGGGAGGGGTGTAAATTAGAGAGTGAGGGGGAGAAAAAAGGAGTCATTTGAATTTGGAAAACAAGATGCAAATGCCATAAAAAGGAAGACACTTTTTTTATTTCATTTTTTTTCTGGAGAAGTACACATTGGTTTCGCTGTGAAGAGTGCGTCCGTTAGAAGAATCAGGAACTTCGGCGTCTTGTTTATTCTTGTTTGTAGTTAGTATGTATGATCTCTATGTTTGTAAGAGAATATGTCGCAGGCGGGCAGCCGCGGCGCAAGATCCTCCGCAAGACGAGGACCGACGATAACAGGTATTTTATCACCGCGTTCCACCTCACCTCGCGCTTGTCGCGCGCCCCGTGCCTAGCAAGTCGACCGAGCACGTCCTTCGATTTATAGTACTCGTACTCTCATTTGGTACGCCGCAAGCCGTCATCACCGACAACGACAGGGTCCTAACCTCTCGTTCGGCTTCGCGGTACTTCGCCGTCAGGCACATTCAGAGCATCCCTAACAGTACTTTACGCTCCCGAAGCTATCGACTTTGTCGAACGCGCCAACGGAAAAATCCTTCCATGTCTGCTCGAAAGAACGTCAACGGCGACATCGACCATTGGAGCGATTATCTCCAGGCAACCAGCCTTCAAGTGAACCAGCAGCCGTACGCCG